AAAAAATACGGGTGTTTCAGTTAGTGGTGTGAAACGTTTCACTCGTGAGCAATTTTTTCAGGACGCCTCGTGGCTTTTCTCAGGATTGTAATTTAGCCAATGATGGTGTATATTTCGAAGATGTATACCAAGTAAGTGAATTGAATACGGTTGGAATAGCAAAATGTGATGCGAATCTACGCTTTATTACGCTGGTCACTTTCTTCTGCTATAGCGTTGCGACGCACACCCACACTTATTGTCCTCGACCCCGCTTTCTATTAGGTTGAGTCACATATGAGAGCTCGATGGTACGTTTGCAGTCTTGGAATACCTTTGCAGCCTCTACGCAAGTGACTTTTGGTGTGTATAATTTTTTGGTTTTGCTTATTCCTCAACTTTATTAAGCAAAAACTTGAGCTCACACAGACATTGCGCTGGTTGGGATAGTTTAAGTTTGCTGGACGAATCTGACGAAGAGGGGGTAATTATTTTGAAGTATAACAATAGCACCAATAAATTTATGCTTGTTCAGCAATTCCAGTTGGAAGCTGCATGCCATGGTGAAAGATGATTTTCCACCTTCCCAATGATAAATTAGATAGGCTAAAGTGTCTTCATCGTCACTATCGCCACCAGAACCATCTTCCTCACCTGAAAGAGCAAGCGCTCTACCTTTCGATTCGTTTCAGCTCCACTGTGAGAGCGCAGTTACCGCTATATTCCTTTACCCTCCAGTATCTTGATGATACAAGAACCCAGTTTCGCAAGTTGGGATGCCAGACTGAATAGCAAGATCCTCCAATATTAATGACGTACACTCCATTTGTCGCTCACACATTAAGCTCTGCGAGCCAGCAACTTTTTTGCATATCTGGTCGTCGGGCTATAGTTTCCTTTGTAAGTTCATTCCGGATAGCACGAATTTCACTCAGAATCGAAACGTGGGGTGGAACGCCATGCCAGTAGCAATGGAATATGCTCGAACTCGAGTTTTAGTTGATCTATCAATTCCGTATCTGCAAAATGAGGGGATTGAAATAACGTGAAGGGTTCTGGTAGATTATTACGAAGAAAATTGAAATAATAGATCAGTGATGCCAGTGCGAATTCTGCTACAAACTCAAACTGGATCGATACGCTAGAAAAACAAAGAGGGTTTGCTTTCTGTACAACATCGTCATCTTCAGTAAAATGAGGAGGCAACATCGCATATTCGTGCTGTCAATATACGCGAACGTACAACGGAGGTGCAGGTTTGCGGGAGGTTCGTACGAACCTGACCTCCAACCTCTCAAACTTCTAAATTCGTCTTTGGTACATAATTTCAAAACCGGACATGGCAAACAGTGGACATCGACTTTTGTCTCCCCTGTGAGCCGAAGTGGACTGCGGAAGCAGCTCGTCGAGCTTCTGTCCTGAAGACTCTATGGTCTATCACTCGTTCTATCGCGATTCACGTCACACGCTTTGGACAGCGCGTAACAAGCACGTCTTCGAGGACAAACCTCCGTTGGATGCAAACAGGGTTGTCTATCAAGTTTACTCCTGTTTCAACGCTCACTTCTGATCGCTGCTTAGGTTTTCCGATCCTGCTGACCGCACTAAGTTACTTTGGTGCCTCCGTCACTTTCCAGTGACGTCGCGGTTGAAGCATTTCGCTTCTTCCAACCCTCAGCTTTTTACCATACGCCAAAAAGCTCTCTGCATTGATCGAAACGGCACACTCCGAGCCATACCACTCCTTCCGAGTCAGGATCAAGTTCCTCCTCCTCCACCTGTAGTCAGCGTAGCTCGCCTTTTGAGAAGTCCAGTTGTCTTATTTGACAGCTGTTAAGTTAAACACAGCCTTAACCCCCCCCCAGTGGACATCGACTCTATCGTCGCGAAGCTGAAGGCTGCAGTCTTCGTTACCTTCTATGACTCCTACTGCAACAACACCAAAGCCGACGAAACCGTGTCTGGCAGTGTCTACCACAGCAAAGCCGACTACGGCAAGCCCCACCC